ACTATATTATATTTTTATTAAAAATAAAATTACCTGTAATTTACCATAATTCCACAACTATTTGCAACACCACGTGGTGAAAGATCAGCCAACCAATTTATTCTCCACATAACAGCTCCATTGCGAAGATGAAAATTTGCTGCAGTATAAAGGAATATGTTGATATGTATGTTTTTACGGTTAAAATTGGTTTATAGTACACAACCTACCGACACTGTTTAAAGCATAATTTCGTCTCTTTTCTTTATATAAATACCAAGCACATGCTCGAACTAATGGTTTTTTTAAAACTTCACATAATACAATATCATGGACCCATAATGAATTATTAAAAATTTTCTTCAAACCCAATGCAATATTTTCTTCTTTTAAAATGTTTTGTATAGATTTAGATTCTTCATTTGTGAAAATATTATTTATTTCTAAAAAATATCGAGTATAAACATAATATTTTAATTATTTCATAGAAATTGATGGCAATTACCTTGTTTTGTTTTTTCTAAAAGCCAAGTTCTAAAATTAGGTATTGGTGATAAAGTAGCCAATTCGTGTATCATAGGAAATTCAGATATCACTTCTTTTGCCACTTCTTTTATTAGATAATTACCAAGTTCAATACTCTAGAAAAGTGCAGAATAGTACTTTTGTTTTTTAAGATACCCAAACAAATCTATTATTGAATATGTAGACTATTTATTTACTTGTAATCCTTTTTGTGTAGAAGTTATTGAGTAAAATATTGCAGCTTTTATTTTACATTTGTTTTCTTCTAAAAATGTTACTTCTTTTCTTGGACCACCAAGAATTCTAATTTTTGCTTCCTCAATACCTTTTACGCTATCTATGAATTAATATTATATTATATTAATAATATACTTTATGTTAAACAATGTACAATATATATTATTTGTTGAATTAATAGTATTATACTTGGTATAATATCACATAATGCTGTATGTAGTACAACAAGAGGTTCCCTTGGCATAGATGGATGAGTAAAAATATAACATCTCCTGTATGGTCCAACTCTTTGTTTCAAATCTAACCAATTTTTTATGGGATGTATTGCTTCATAATCTGAAATCTTAGTATCTTCAAGTAATAAAAAGTAAATATAAAATGTTTAATGTTGTTCTTTGCTAATTATTTCATTTCTTAAATTTGAGTAATAAGTGATATGTCATGTCAAAATTATCATGTATATACCTTTTGCAAAATATCACATGCAGTTTGCCATGTTATTCTTTCTAAATGTAGAAATCCTACTGAAAACCAGAGCAGTAACAAATCCCGCAAGGTAATATTTAACTGTTGTATTGTAATACTTTCATTTGTTTCTGTACTGTCTAATATTAATTCCTAGCAAAAGCATTTAAGTAAAAATATTATATCCAACTTATAATTTTATAGATCATTAAATAAACTTTAAAAAATAAACTTTTTTAATATTTAATTTGTGTCTTGATTTTTAACATAAATGAACATCACTATAAAAGCTTAAACTTTTGTCATTTTAAATTGCTTACTAAAATATCTGTCCTTAAATCAACAAGAAATTTTACACCACTTTCAAGTCTTCCAATTATAATAAACAGCCACTGATAATCTGGAGTTAAAACACTTTTCAAATTTCGTTCACAAGAAACTATTCGTCTTATATTGTCTGACTAAAATAAAAAAGACAGATAATAACATAAATATTCTTTATATATTACTAAATTTTTATGTTGTTAGAATTAAAAAAACTGAAATATGAAATGAAAGAAAATATTTAGTTTATGCATTCAATAATAATAAAATAAAAAAAGGAAGAATATGCAAACCTCTGTAGAAATTAACTTTTCTGCTACATTGCATACAACACCACGTTGAATGGCATATTTAGATGCTAATATGTATAGAATTTGTTGTTTATCCTTTTTATTACTTTCCTGGTAACCATAACATAAAGCACGTGCTTTGTTCTGAAATAGAATTTAGTATTATTGAATTATATAATTAAGCTTTTGTTTATAAAGTAAAAATAAAAATAGGGATTTGACATGTGTAAAATATATATTTTTTATTCATCTGTTT